GCAGAGGAATGAGAGACCAGATTGCCAATATCTGGATGCTGGAGAATGGAGAAAGGCAGGGAGTTTCAGAAAAACATCTATTTCTGTTTTATTGACTATTTATTTACTGCATTTATTGACCGCCGCTCTCAGCCCTAGGGCGACTCGCGGCGGTGCACAACATATAAAAACAGTTTACAAAAGGGCAAAACAAGAAATCAATACAACAATAAAACAATTTCTGTTTTATTGACTATTCTAAAGCCATTGACTGTGTGGATCATAATAAATTGTGGCAAGTTCTTGGCGGGATGGGCATACCAAGCCCCCTTCCCTCTCTCCTGAGGAATCTGTACAAGGACCAAGTAGCAACAGTCAGAACGGACCATGGAACAACAGACTGGTTCAAGATTGGGAAAGGTGTACATCAGGGTTGTATCCTCTCCCCTAACCTATTCAACTTGTATGCAGAACACATCATGCGAGGAGGTGCGGGGCTGGAATGCAAAGCTGGGGTGAAAATTGCTGGAAGAAACATTAACAACCTCAGATATGCAGATGACACCACTCTGATGGCCGAAAGCGAGGAGGAGCTGAGGAGCCTTCTAATCAAGGTGAAAGAAGAAAGTGCAAAAGCTGGGTTGCAGCTAAACATAAAAAACAAGATTATGGAAACAAGAATGATTGACAACTGGGAAATAGAGGGAGAAGACATGGAGGCAGTGACAGACTTTGTATTTCTAGGTGCAAAGATGACAGCAGACACAGAGTGCAGCCAGAGTGCAGCCAGGAGACGCTTCTTGGGATGAGAGGAATGTCCAATCTCGATAAAATAGTGAAGAGTACAGACATCACATTGGCAATGAAGATCTGCATAGTTAAAGCAATGGTATTCCCCATAGTCACCAATGGATGTGAGAGCTGGACCTTAGGGAAGGCTGAGCGAAGGAAGATAGATGCTTTTGAACTGTGGTGTTGGAGGAAAGTTCTGAGAGTGCCTTGGACTGCGAGAAGATCCAACCAGTCCATCCTCCAGGAAAGAAAGCCCGACTGCTCATTGGAGGGAAGGAGACTAGAGACAAAGTTGAAGTCCTTTGGCCACATCATGAGGAGACAGCAAAGCCTAGAGAAGGGAATGATGCTGGAAAGTGGAAGGCAAAAGGAAGAGGGGCCGACCAAGGGCAAGATGGATGGATGGCATCCTTGAAGTGACTGGATTGACCTTGAAGGACCTGGGGGTGGTGACGGCCAGCAGGGAGCTCTGGCATGGGCTGGTCCATGAGGTCACAAAGAGCCGGAGACAACTGAACAAATGAACAACAACAACACATTGCTTCCCTTGGCTTGGAAAGGACAATTCTATTGATACCGTCTAAGGGAGCCTTTTCCCTTTGTTTTCATGTTCTCCTCAGATGTTTTTCCTCAGCTCGGAGGCTGGGGGGTTGGCCTAAGGAGCGCAGCCCATGCTCTGGTCCCTCCTGAGACTCGTAAGTGAGCTTGGACCCCCTTGGGCACTGCACATCTTCTCAGTCTCAATTACCTCACCCCACAAGCTCTTCTTTAAAGGCTGAAAAATACCTTATTTATTACAAAAAAGGAATGGACCTCAACATTCAGGGTGCTGGGTTCTGCACTGGGGACCTCAGCTGTGTTTATTCCACCACTTCCTCCCACGTCGCCCTGAATAGATGGTATCCCACCCTGGGACTGTGGTTGAGGGCAGGAATCCAGAGGAGAAACACTGGCTCTGGAAAAGACTGGCAGGAGTCTCTTGTTCAGTCACTTCAAGGAAAGAAGTGTTTGCAAGGGCTGAGAATGGCTCGGATGTATTGGGAATATAAAAGGAGCCCCAGGGTCCGCTCCATTCAGCTTGTGCATGCGCAACCAGCTGAATAAATGGCCACAGACTGTCCCCAGATTGAGCATCAAAGATATGGTGATCCCATGGGCAGTTTCTTCTTCTGCCTCCTCTAAAATCTCACTTCCTCTCGGAAAGACATCTGAGTGCATGGCTTGCATCTTGTGGCTGGAAAGTCCTTCAGACAAAAGCGGGGAGACTGTGTTCTTCTGTGTACTTTTGTTAAGATCTAAAAACGTGGATATTCCATTGTGCTTTCAATAAGACGGTTTCTCCAGAAAATGTTTGACTCCCAGTTACGACCTAAGTTTCAGTCCCTGCACTTTACTCCTGTCTCCTGCTTAGAGGTACACCGTTTCAGCTTATATTGCCCTTTACCCCCAATTTCTTATCATCTGGCACCTCCACTTTACCATGAACCCTTCCTCACAACTGATTGTATTAGCCCCTCTCCCCTTCCCAGAACTGCATTGCTATCTCAGGTTACCGGTTGTCTGTATGATGTATTATGGTATGTCGTTGTTGGTTTATTTCTCTTGTTGCTGTTTTTACACATTTTAAATGTGTTATTTTAGCTATTTTGATCGGGCTTGTCCCCGTGTCAGCCACCCCGAGTCCCTTCGGGGAGATGGAGGCGTGGTATAAAAATTAAGTTATTGTTGTATTATGATTAGAAACACAACAAGTTGAGTCCACAGCAAACAAGGTCACTCTGCTGGCTGTTGTATTGGATCACATGTCTGACACTACCCAAGTAAATGGCTTTGAGTCCCCCCAGGGGTGAGAAAGGCGGTATATAAATACTGTAAATAAATAATTAAAAACGATGTTGTTTAACATCTACATGAAGCCGCTGGGCGAGATCATCCGGAGTTTCGGAGTGAGATGTCACCTGTACGCAGATGATGTCCAGCTCTGTCACTCCTTTTCACCTGCTACTAAGGAGGCTGTCGAAGTCCTGAACCGGTTTTTGGCCGCTGTGACCGCGATATCTCAGCCTATACGGCGACTCATTGCGGTTTACAACTTGTTAAAATACAATAGTCACTTAAAATATAAAATAAAATATCAAAATACAGGGCATAAAACATACATAATATAAACATACTTCGTATCGGGCCACCGATACGGATCGAAAACATCTCATAGTTAAAATCGTAATAAATACTAAGGAGGCTGTCGAGGTCCTGAACCAGTGCTTGGCCGCTGTGACGGTCTGGATGGAGGCGAACAAATTGAAATTGAATCCAGACAAGACAGAGGTACTCCTGGTCAGTCGCAAGGCCGAACAGGGTATAGGGTTACAGCCTGTGTTAGACGGGGTCGCACTCCCCCTGAAGACGTAGGTTCGCAGTTTGGGTGTGATCCTGGACTCATCGCTGAGCCTGGAACCCCAGGTTTCGGCGGTGACCAGGGGAGCATTCGCACAGTTAAAACTTGTGCGCCAACTGCGACCGTACCTTGGGAAGTCTGACTTGGCCACGGTAGTCCACGCTCTGGTTACATCCCGCCTTGACTACTGCAACGCTCTCTACGTGGGGTTGCCTTTGAAGACAGCCCGGAAGCTCCAATTAGTCCAACGGGCGGCAGCCATGATACTAACAGGAGCGGGGCGCAGGGAGCACACAACTCCTCTGCTGCACCAGCTCCACTGGCTGCCGATATGCTACCGGGCTCAATTCAAAGTGCTGGCGTTGGCCTTTAAAGCCCTAAACGGTTCTGGCCCAACTTATCTATCCGAACGTATCTCAGCCTATCAGCCCACCAGGACCCTAAGATCTTCTGGAGAGTCCCTGCTCTCTATCCCACCGGCTTCCCAAGTGCGGCTGGCGGGAACGAGAGACAGGGCCTTCTCTGTGGTGGCCCCTCGGCTTTGGAACACCCTCCCTATAGAGGTACGATCAGCCTCCTCGCTGATGGTGTTTCGGAAGAGGTTGAAAACATGGTTGTTTAAACAAGCATTCGGTTAATCCATTGCAATCGAATGTTGATGATTAAGGACTGGTACTCATGGACAACGAATTTTGGACTGTGATTTTAATTACGAGATGCAAGGGATTATTATTGGTGGCCCAATAATTTGTATTGTATATGTGTTTTATGGTTTTAACTTGTTTTTTAATACTGTTTTTTAATACTGTTTTTAATTGTTGTAAACCGCAATGAGTCGCCGACTTAGGCTGAGATATTAGCGGTATACAAGCGTACAAATAAATAAATAAATAAATAAGTGTGTAGGACTGTGTGATGTATCGGTGAATGATGCGTGCAGATCCCAGTAAGGTGACCTTTTTCAGCTGGCAGATGGTAATTGTGTCAGCACTGATTTTGTTTAAGTGCAGGTCAAGGTCTTTAGGCACTGCACCCATTGTGCTGCTCTCCATTGGGACCCCCTTGACTGGCTTGTGTCAGAGTCTCTGCAGTTCTTGCTAATCTTATTGTGTTTCAGAGTATTATCATTATTATTATTATATGGCTCTTCAGTTTCATCCTAAAGCATCCCTATCACAGGGTTTACTTGGCAAGATTCCTTCAGAGGCTGGGTGGCTTGCACAATGCATGTCTATTTGCATGTCTGAATGATCTCCAGAGCTATAGTGCAATGCTCAGACTACTACTTACTACATGCTCCCTCTCTGGGGTAATTTACAAAACTCAAATGTAATGAAGTTATGTTGAGAGAAAACGACTATGTAAAAAGTTCATCAAGATCCACCACTTTGAGGGGGCGCTGAGTTGGGAAAGGCTGGTCCTGTGGGAACAGGAAGCAGGAAAGAGAGACCGTGGCTCAGTCTCTGCTGTTCACTTGGGCCAAGAGAAGACCTCTGGGGTCAACTCTGCCTTCCCTGCCCTCCTCTGTATGGGTTGACCCTGTGGACCAGAGATGGGAGGGGGGAGAGGCCTTGGGCAGCCCTGAGGCCCCACTTGGCTTGCCCCCAGGACTTCCAGGCACTCACAGCTTTAATAAATACTACTACTAGTAGTAATAATAATAATATTTATTTATATCCTGCCTCCATCTCTTCGAAAGGACTCGGGGCAGCTTACAAAGGCATTCCAGGGTGCCCCATATAACATGAAACGGTAGATAAGTATAAAACAGTAACACATAAAATGGCAATAACAACAAGCTTTCTTTTTCTTTCTTTATCGCTTGATGCAGGAGCTTTCAGAAGGCGCAATCCCAGTGAGCAGAAGAAGGAGATCGCAACACACATCAGACAAATCCCTTTAGCCTTCCAGCTGCTGAGGCGAACCATGATTTGCCCACCCTGGAGAATTGCCCCGGGAAATGCCTGCAGGAGGGGTTGCCCAGGTAGGGCCAACTGGGCAGGGCCTGACCCTCACTGTGGAGGTTTTGGGCTGCTTGTCTCCGTGTTCCTTGCATGCAGAGGGGCTCAAGGGATGGAGGTGGGAGGAACCCTACTTCCACATGGCTGTTTGTGAGGGTGATCAGTGCTGGGCAGAAGGGCTTGACCTGCAGAGCGTTTCTTGACCTGTTAGCGTTTCTCAGAGAAATGGTTGGGCATTTTGTCCCATCTGCCTTTCAAGCCTGAGAACTGATTTTCAACTGGGAATGGGAAGTGAGGGCTCTTCCTTGTACCTTTGTGTTGTGCTTCGCCTGCTCTTTTCCTTTGTGGTTATTATTCGCTCAAGGAGTCAGTAAGTGCAAAACATAAAGCAGATGCGGGTAGCATAAAACGGCCTCTACAAGTGGGTCTGAGGAGGACATTCCTGATAGGAGTGCAGCTGCTTGTCAGAGAGAACACAACAAAGGCTGGTGGGTTCCTGGTTACGCCAAGTGAAGCCATGCTTTGTCCTCACAGGTGACCTTTGAGCCTCCCCTGGTCTGCGTCCTCCTGAAGGCGGAGGAGGAGCTCACGGAGAACCCGCACGGCACACCTGGAGGTGGGGATGGAGAACTACGAGCTGGTCACTTCTCTGGGTAAGATGAGATCCCCTCAGGATTACTTAGGGTGCCCAGTTAGTGGGAGCATGCTGCAGAACCCAACTTTATCATCCCCTGTGTATTGAATCTCAGAAAGACGGCTTGTCTGTACTTCAAGGAAGATACTGAGGCTGAATAAGGATAGGAAAGGTCCAGTAGAGATATGGGTGTTTTAATCTGGGGGTCCAAGTGCTCTGCAGCCTTTTGGAAATGGATGGAGCTTCCTTGGGAATTCCTAGGCAGTACCTTTACTTCATGATGTAGGAACACAGAGCAGCAAAACAAACAAACAAAAAAAAACAAACCTGGACACAGCATATTATTGGAGAACACAGAAATGCTGGACCACTCTCACAACCACCATGTCAGACTACACAGAGAAGCCATTGAAATCCACAAGCATGTGGACAATTTCAACAGAAAGGAGGAAACCATGAAAATGAACAAAATCTGGCTACCAGTATTAAAAAACTCTAAAATTACAACAGCAAAACAACAGAGAGGAAACAATCTGGGACATCTAATCACCTCTCAACAAAAGATTGCTCCAAGCACTGTCAGGCCATTATATGCTAATCAAGGTGGTCAGTTGAAACATTCACACCTAGCTCCAGCAGACAAGAGTCCTTTGTCCCACCCTGGTCATTCCACAGATATATAAACCCTTTTTCCTAGTTCCAACAGACCTCACTACCTCTGAGGATGCTTGCCATAGATGCAGGTGAAATGTCAGGAGAGAATGCCTCTAGAACATGGCCAAAAAACCTACAACAACCCAAACAAAAAAACAATGAGAATTTTGGAACAGAGATAGAGATCCTGGGGCAAGTCTCTCCCTGATACAGGTAAACAGAAGACTAGTGTTATAATGATACATGAAACAGCCTGACAAAACAAAATAGACTTAGCTGACTATTGGTAAGCAGCCTAGATGTAATACAGTATAATACTAATAATAATATGTATAATAATAATAATAATAATAATAATAATAATAATAATAATAATAAATAATATATATAATTAATAATAATATTTTTAATAAATAATACATAAATTATAATAAATTATTATAATAATATATGTTATATATATATATAATTATAATAATATATATTATAGTTATAGGTTTTTATTGCATGTAATATTACTAATAATATTACAATATAATTGTATAGTACAATATAGTGATGTATAGCGCTGATATTGTACTGTGCTAATGGTATAATGTATTGTATGTGTGTAGATACATATATATCTTGTAAGCTGCTCTGAGTCCCCTTCGGGGTGAGAAGGGCAGCATATAAATGTCGCAAATAAATAAATAAATAAATGTCCTTCCTTGGGATAGAATGGTACTGTCAGAATTGGGATGCTTTGATTGTGCTTTTCCTGCATGGCAGGAAGTTGGACTAGATCACCCATGTGGTCCCTTCCAACTCTATTTTTCTATGAAGTCACTATTAACCTAGCATTTCTGGTTTATATATAGCAGGCCTTGGACAATGATAATAAATTGCTAGTAAGTTGATCTAAGAAGAAGGGTACCTTCAAATATCTTGGCCCTATACTGTCTGGGGAAAAGGCTTCACTGACTTCTGGATTGTGTCTGGGCACCATTGTTGGGCGAGTGGGCTTATTAACAAAAGGCCCTCCTCATAAATGTACAGCAGAGTAACTTATTAGCAGCCGTGTGACCCAGCACGAGTAGACCAAAGTGATAAAAATAACAAAAAACACACAGACCAATGTTATCTCCTCCATAGGAGGTTTTTCTTTATTGCAAAATAATATGGTTGCACTATTTACAAGCACAAGGTTTCCATAACAGAAATAGAAAGTTCTTTATACTTCCTTCTTTGCTTCCACACTGGGCTTCTTTCTCATGCAAATAAAAAGCTTCATTCTCAGAGAGCCTCTTCTCACACTAAACTTCACACAGTAGCCTTTTACACACAACAGCCTTCACACTGGAGCTTTACACACGAGGCCTTCAACCTGGGGCTTCTCTCACCGATTCCTTCTCACACCAGGCCTCTCCCACGCTGAAGCTTAATAACACTGAGGCCTACCTCACACTGAGGCCTACTAACACTGAAGGTTGCCTCACACTGAGGCCTCTTTCAGACTGAAGCCTCTTCATACTGAGGGCAACTAACACTCAGAGCGTACTAAGCTACAGGCACCCCTGCTTATATTGAACTGCAGCTTTTATTGAGTCATTGCATCCATTTAACCCTTGGCTCACATTTTTGTAATTAAAATACCTAGTTAATTTTTAATTTTTCTGACAACAATGACCCCAAAAACCCCTCAGGACAGGGCTGCTTACCTACCTATGATCACTGCCTCAGTAATACCTGGAAGTGAGAGGGAGTGGAAGGGATGTCTCTGTCAGCTTTTGAAAATTAACCCATGCCTGGTGTCCTCCTGTCTTAGGCTACCCGGTTCTCAAACCTGACCTCCTGTCTCGGATTGAGCGCGCAGGAGAGCAGTGCATTGGCGACCAACTGGACTCCAGCCGAGGGATTCCAACAGATCCCTGCCCAGGTATGCCACTGATCTCCAACTGTTTGGGTTCAAAGGCCCCATGATTCCCTCCCCAGAGTCCCTGCTCACAACTGAAGCAAGTGCTGAGCTCAGTGGGAAGTAACTGTTGTCTCTTTGCCCTCTGCCCCAGGCTACCGTTTTTTCAAGCCCGAGAGTTTGTCGTGGATCGAGCGGTGGGAGGAGCTTGGCGTCACGGACCGGCAAAAGTTGGAGGAAGGCAAGCTGTGCACTGGATCCTGTCAAGGTGAGGCGTGGAGGCTGAGGATGTCGCTCCTCCAAGAAGTCTGTAATAGAAGTTGCTCTAGTCCAGTGGTTCTCAACCTGTGGGTCCCCAAGGTTTTTCAGCCTACAACTACCAGAAGTCCCAGCCAGTTTACCAACTGTTAGGATTTCTGGGAGGTGAAGGCCAAAGCACCTAGTGTTGTGACTCAGCTGGAATCACAGCCTGTCTCTGATGAGGATGATGGGACTCAGGTTCACAGTTTGGTTCAAGATTTCCCTGTTATAGACATCCCTGTTATAGACAGTGAAGAAGTGCAGTTTCCCACAGCAAGGCATGAGAGTGTTGATCCTGAAAATAGCCAGGTGCAGGTGTAGATTGACTCAGAGAAGGAGGACAGTTCTCAGCCTGATAATGACCTAGCAGGGAAACAGGCTGACACGAACAGACTGACCTTAACGAAATGGGAACCTTAGATCGGGCTGACTGTTTGGAATTCCAAGTTCGAAGGAGTGAGAGGATAGCTAACAAGAGGGAGGCCAGAGGCCAAAGAAAGGCCTTCATGTTTTGCAAAGGGTATTAAGCCGTGTGTGTGAGACCAAACATTTGTCAAAGCAACTTTGCGTTCAACTAAGAAGCTTGCCTTTGCTTGTCTGGATTTATCTTGCAGTTCTTGTGTTCATGGTTTCAGGATTTTGTCATGTTCTCTTGGGTTTTAGCTTTGCTGGTACCTTTTTGGATTAAGCTTCAAGTGCTATATGATATTGATCTGTTGGGGCTTTAACCTTTGCCTTTAAGAACGTTTTACCTTTTATTTTTAATAAACTATAAAGACTTCTGGCTGTGTGCAGTTCGGTGTCTTCAGCAAGGTGAATCTACTCTGAGGTGCAACACCTAGGGACCCACAGGTTGAGAACCACTGCTCTTGGGATAGTCCTGACCTGGCAGCCGCAGCGAGACAAAGAACAGACAGTAATGACGGTCTGGCTCTTGAGCTTCCTCTGGCTGTGGGGTTGGCTTGGCTCCTGCGGTCACTTCTCCCATCGCTGCTCTCCAGTGCTCCACCCTGCTTACTCCTTTCCTTATTCCAAAGCTTCCTCATCCATACCTTAATGTACTTGTTGTCCCTCCAAGTGATGTGTCTTGGCGATGGGTCCGTAGGTGGCTGCAGAGGCCTATTCGTGATCCTTTTCATGCCTCTGCTTCTGAGCATCACCAAGGCTCCCCTTTGTGCCACCCTTCAAACATCACCAGGGCTCACTCTGGGATCCTTGGTGTGCTTGGCTCTCTGGTTTGGGTGCTTTGCTCTTGAGCAGTGGTTCTCAACCTGTGGCTCCCCAGGTGTTTTGGCCTATAATTCCCAGAAATCCCAGCCAATTTACTATCTGTTAGGATTTCTGGGAGTTGAAGGCCAAAACATCTGAGGACCCCCAGGTTGAGGACCACTGCTCTAGTCAGTCATGGAAACCAGGGTTTACATCTTTTTGTGTCCTGAAGGTTTTTGCACCTGACAAGTTATGGACCCTCAGGTTTCCTCTTCCCTATCCCAAGGATGCCTGGTGCATTATGATGTGTGCCTGCTTTCTAGTTCCTCTGAAGAACAGGAACCCATAAGGAACTTGTCTCAATTGTCATATGCTAATCCATAAGTTAAGAGGACAAATAGCTTCCCAGGGCTTTGTTGACCGTATGACTGAGGACTGACTTGAGATTAAAATCTTCCATGCTTGACCATCAAACCATTATCCAAGTTCCTGCTCAATTTATCTTAAGTCCCAACTCAGGTGTAGCTATTTATAATATTATAATGTAATACAATATACTACTACTAATAATAATAATATGGTATTATAATTATATATTTTATATTACATGTAATATTACTAATAATATTACAATATAATGTTATAGTTCAATATAGTAATATATAATACTGATATTGTACCATGCTAATAATATGATGTATCTTGTAAGCCACTCTGAGTCCCCTTCGGGGTGAGAAGGGCGGCATATAAACATCGTAAATAAATAAGTAAATAATAGCTGTTCATGGAGCTACGTTGACTTCACTTCACAGCACCTTCTTCCCCGAATATGAATCAAAACTTTTAAAATCCCAACTACTTTTTTAAAGAGTCTAATCTTCACTTACATTAATCTGTAACCAAAATTATTTATATTCAGTTTTGGTTCTGCCCTCTCCTCGTGAGTTTTTATCATTTTATCTTGTTCATGCGACCCGCTCATTGTGATTGTATTTTTTGCACTGTTTTATTGTATTTTTATATTTTATTTACTTTATTGCAATGTTTGTTTTGTGTTTTTGGTTTTTTTTTTATTGTAATGCACTACTGGGCTTGGCCTCATGCAAGCCGCCCCGAGTGGGTTTTTTCGGGCTATAGAGCCATGTTCTAGAGGCATTTCTCCTGACGTTTCGCCTGCATCTATGGCAAGCATCCTCAGAGGTTGTGAGGTCTGTTGGAAGTGGGAAAAATGGGTTCATATATCTGTGGAATGGCTGGGGTGGGGCAAGGAGCTCTTCCCTGCTGCAGTTAGGTGTGAATGTTTAGCTGATCGCCTTCATTAGCATTTGAAGGCCTGCCTGAGCCTGGGAAAATCTGTTGCTGGGAGGTGTTAATCTGTGCCTGGTTTTTTCCTCTCTGTTGTTTAGCTGTTATAATTTTAGAGTTTTTTAATACTGGTAGCCAGATTTTGTTCATTTTCATGGTTTCTTCCTTTCTGTTGAAATTGTCCACATGCTTGTGGATTTCAATGGCTTCTCTGTGTAGTCTGACGTGGTGGTTGTTGGTGTGGTCCAGCATTTCTGTGTTCTCAAATAATATGCTGTGTCCAGGCTGGTTCATCAGGTGCTCCGCTATGGCTGACTTCTCTGGTTGAAGGAGTCTGCAGTGCCTTTCATGTTCCTTGATTCGTGTCTGGGCGCTGCGTTTGGTGGTCCCTATGTAGACTTGTCCACAGCTGCATGGTATACGGTAGACTCCTGCAGAGGTGAGAGGATCCTTTGCTGGATTTTCTTGGTGGGTTTGTAGATTGTTTGTATGTTGTGTTTCCTCATCAGCTTCCCTCTGCGGTCAGTGGTTCCCTTGATGTCTGGCAGTAACTGCAGCAGGGAAGAGCTCCTTGCCCCACCCCAGCCATTCCACAGATATATGAACCCATTTTTCCTACTTCCAACAGACCTCACAACCTCTGAGGATGCTTGCCATAGATGCAGGCGAAACGTCAGGAGAAATGCCTCTAGAACATGGCGCTATAGCCCGAAAAAACCCACAAGAACCTAGTGATTCCAGCCATGAAAGCCTTCGACAATACAATTATTATTATTATTATTATTATTATTATTATTATTATTATGGTAAATGTAATATGAGGTCCTGGGGGCAGGGAGAGTCTTATCTGATGATGGCAGTAAGCTACTGATCAGTTTGGTAAAAGTCCAGAAGGCTCTTTCTCCTCTTCTGACAGCGCCTTTCTCCTCCTCGTTATAGGTGCAGTAGCAGCAGCCGGCCGCGGCAAGGCCATCAAGGAAGAGGAGGGCGGCCAGAAGGGCTTTGTGGCCAGCTTGGAGCGCTACCAGCTCTTCCCCGACAGCTCCCGGGCCGGGCTCTTCCTGGCACCCAACAGCGCCCAGCTGCGGAACCAGCCCCGGGTCAAGAAGGAGGAGGCCGCCTCCTGTGAGCCCAGCCTGTGTGGCCCCGGGCGCCCCTCCCAGGGCCTGGGCTCGGGCCCCTTCGCCTGCGTGGTGTGCGGCAAGTGCTTCCGGCAGAAGCAGGGCCTCATCACGCATGGGCGCATCCACACGGGCGAGAAGCCCTACCCGTGCCTGGAGTGCGGGAAGCGCTTCCGCCAGCGCCCCAACCTGCTGACCCACCAGCGCGTGCACACGGGCGAGCGGCCCTTCCCCTGCTTGCGCTGCGGGAAGCGCTTCAGCCAGAAGGCCAACCTGGCGGCTCACCAGCGCACCCACGCGGTGCAGGAGGGGCTCATCGCCCCGGAACCCAAGGTGTCCGTCCCGCGGGGCAGCCGCCAGACGGAGAAGCCCTTCCCTTGCAACGTCTGCGGGAAGAGCTTCAGCCAGCGGCCCAACCTCATCACCCACCAGCGCATCCACACAGGGGAGAAGCCCTTCGCCTGCACCGAGTGCGGGAAGCGCTTCAACCAGCGGGCCAACCTCATCACCCACCGCCGCATCCACTCGGGCGAGCGGCCCTTCCCCTGCGCCACCTGCGGCCGGCGCTTCAGCCAGAAGGGCAACCTCGCCGCCCACCAGCGCACCCACTCCCAGCAGCGGCCCCACGCCTGCTCCTGCTGCCCCAAGCGCTTCAAGGGCGAGTCCGCCCTGCGGGCCCACCAGAGAACCCACCGGCAGGTCTTGGGGACCGACCCCCTGACAGGGGCCCTCTTGGCCGTCCCCAGCCTTCAGCAGCAGCAGCAACAACAACAGCAACAACAGCAGCAGCAACAACAACAACAACAACAGCAACAAGCTGCCTTGGCCGGCGATGCCTCCACCGCAGCACAGCGGGCAACGCCAGCCCCCCGCCCCGATCTCCCCAGCGACCCCACTCCGGGCCTCCACCGGGCCCCTCACGGAGGGCAGAGTCTCTCCACTGACCCTCCCCAACCTGGCGGCCCCCACAACGCCGGCCCAGCGGGGCTCCTCCAGGGGGTGTCGGCCCCCGGTCCCGACCAGGGCCCCAAGCTCAGCGCCTCCCTGGCCGTGATGGATCCCCACGTGGAGATGCTCCACTGCCAGCGCCGGCTGAGCCTGCCTGCGCTGCCCACCTCCAGCGCCCATTCCGTGGTGCCCATGGGGCAGCCCCAGCCCATCACTTCCAAGCCCAAGGGGATCGCCGGCCCCCGGCTCGCCACGGTGGACGGGCCGCCCAGCGAGATGCTCCACTGCCTCTGCCACGCCAGCCGAGCCTCCCTGGTCATTCCTCACCCGCCGCACCTGGGGCAGCTCCAGGCGGGCAGCAGGGACGCCCCCGGCCGGGCTTGGCTGGGCATCCCCTGCCCGGCCCGCACCCTCCCGCTCCCGCAGGGGGGCCAGGGCCACCCGGTGGCCCCCAACCCCAGACTGTGCTCCATCCCGGACTCCCTGCGGTAGCTCCCCAACGAGAGGACAGGCACCGTGCAAGCGCAGGCTGTGGGGCCGCCCACCCTTCCCAACCTTCCTGGCATCCCAGGGGGCTCGGCCGTGGGGCTCATGCATGTACCGTGGACAGGGAAGCCCTCTGCCTCCATACGCCCCGCTTGGGACACATACCTGTGAGCCCCCTCGGTAATTCCTCTTCTTCTAACATTGGACTCGAGCGGCCAACGGGCAACAGCCAAGGAGCCCGCCGTGGAGCAGCCGCCGCCGCCCCACAGAAGCTTGCACAGGTTGAATATATTGTGCCAAGTATATTTCTCCTCATCCCAGCTCCGCCTCATCTCTCCTGCCCCTTCCCTAAGAACCCACAGAACCCTTTCACTCCATTGTGTGGCCAGATCCCCTTTTCATCCTGCAAGGAAGCCCAGGACTCGGGGGCCACTTCAGCCTCCCCACTTTGAAAGCTTGTCCCTTCAAGGCCCCCTTCGTTTCCTTGAGAGGAAAGACAACATTGGGACCCCCCCTGGCCTTTCAGCGTGCCTGCCATACTGTGAGCAACATGGTAAACCATGGCTGGACATGTATGTTATGACGGTTGCAGGAGACTTGATGTCAAAGTGGCACTCTCCGGCAACAGTCGGTCAGTACCCAAGCCACTTGAGGTTTGAATGGACAGGAGCAACGGCCCCACGCATCTTCCATGTTGCATGAGCATTTGGGTCCTTGAAAGACCCTCTTCTGACAGACCCCTGGCTCCTTTTCCTCACGCGTCCATGCAAAAAGTTGATGGAAATGGCACGCTATGGAGGAAAAGTGCAGTTTGGGACCGAACCACAACTGCTCTTGTTTTGGATGTGGAACTTTAGTTCTAGAGGAGAAGAAGGCGGGGAGAGGGACACAGAAAATAGGGTGAACTACTGTCAAGGTATCAACGGTGCAACCTCCCCCCACCCCCCATAAATCCCATTGGAGCGCCATTGGAGGCAAAGAAAGACTCCAGTGAGTGGGCAAGTGTTTTGAAGGCCTACCACATTGATTCTACCTTTGTATCACTTTGGGAGGGGGTTTAAAGGAAATGAGTCCCCCTTTCCAAAGAGAGGTGGGGACAGTGTTGGGGGAGAGCGCGCTTATGCTTCAAAAGCAACGGTGTTCTTGGAGGATTTGTTTGTGGGCAGGTGAGGAGTACAAGAAGCAAACCTTCCTCCAGGAGTCAAGGACAACCGAACCCCTCCCCGTTCCCGTTCTTAACCCGAGGTGACCATCTAGCCAGCTCTGGGGCGAGGCAAAGCGATGGGTCGTGCGGCACGGCAATGCAAGGGCTTCCCTCCTGCGCCCCTTCCTCTCCGAGGCTTGATTCTGGCAAGTGGCCTCAAATAGTCTTGGAAGGTGAGGGAGAGAAGCATTGACCAAAGAGGAGGAGGAGGAAGGGCAGGGGGGACTGGGAAGGCCGGACAGGTGGGTGTACAGAATGGGGTGGGAGGGCAGGAGAGGGGCAGCAGAAGCACTTTACAGAAGATTCCTTCCCTCGTTGTAAACAATGAGCCCGCTGGCCCCTCTCCAGCCCTGCTGATCCAATGACCTGGCTGCCTTGCTTCCCCAGAGTCTCGTGACGGTCTCTGTGGCCCCGTTCCTTTCCTCTGATGGAGCTGCACCTTTTGGAGTGGGGGGCTGCCCTCCTTGTTCTGAGAGGGCCCCTCCTCCGGTGCAAGGGGAGTCCGTGCCTTAAGGCCCAGTTCTTTGGGGAGTGGGGCAGGAGGGCCTCGCTTCCTGGGGAGGAATTCATGGTCAAGGGACAGTGGGAGAGTCAAGGGCTGCACACGCACAGCTTCGGTGGGTCTAGTTGGGGACAGGTCGAAAACCACCAGCGGGTTATGGGCCCAGCACATATCCAGTTGTCTTTCTTAAGCCCAACACAAATCCTGCTGAGAGAACCCTGGCCTGAGCTGGTCATCCTGTACCAGAAGAGAGTCTCCATCAGGTTATGGGTCCAGCACATTTCCAATTGTCTTTCTTAAGCCCAACATAGATCCTGTTGGGAGAACCACAGGAGAAGGGCATGATGTTCTCCTGTATGAAGATTCCCCTCAACAAATTGGGGGTTTCCCTCTGTAAGAGAGGGGGTGTTGCCTGGGGACCTCCATATTCTAAAGTGCCATGAAGGGGAAGCTGCCTACTGCCAGAGGAAAGGCCAGGAGACCCATGTTGCCCTGAGTGAAGCCATTGTGGGAATGGTCAACGAAGTAGCAGATCCGCAAGGGTGAGGATCCCTCTGTCTGCTGGTGCATCTCCTCTTCCTGTAGGACTGTGTTCAGGAACGTTAACGGGGAGACGGAAGGAAGGAGGAGGGAGACTGCGTAGGGAGCTTCTTGAGATCTTCTTGGATGTGGAAACGGGGAAAAAGGCCTTTGGTGGAAGGAGGCTCCAACCCAACCCCTATGTGTATGTGGGAAAGGGGGCTATGGTCATTCTGTAATATTTGCCAGTGTTGGCCCCACCTATACATTGCAAGATTCCTAGGCCCTTTTTCGTACATTATGGGTGTGTGTGATGAGGCAGTTACGGAACGCTAGCCCTCCCACCCAATGCACCCCCTCAGCAGGTCTCTAAGTTTGTTACTGCATTGCCTGGGAGGAAGGAACATTTGCTTCCCGGTGCAAAAGATTCCTTCCTTCCTGTTCACCATGTGCTCCTTGGATGTCTGTGGAAGAAGGAAAGGGTGGATGGTGCTGCCTTGGCCAATGCCAATCTTCAGCGTCCAGAGGAAGGCCACCTTGGTCACCTCTTCCTGACCTGAGTCAGATGGAGGAAGAGAGCCCTGTCCTTGCAGTAACTGGACAAGGCAGCTGCCTCAGTGCCTTGGTAGGAATGTGGCCCCGTTCCCTCAGTGTATCTTGCTTTGGGAGAAGAAACCCTTCCCCGCCAAGGGGGACGTTTGGCGTCCGCCATGCAGTGTACCTTGCTTGCCCCTGCTTGCTTGCGTTGTCCTTGTGGAGCTCGCTCCTCTGTAAGTAGCTTCCCGAAGTGCACTTGCTCTTTCGCTTGTAGCCCAGCTTTCTTGGGGGGTGACAATGGGGAGGGGGGGCAGTCCTGCCAGGGCTGGGCTCCGTCTAGCCTTACCGATCTCACATCTTGGCCCTGGGAAGCCTTGAGTTGGCCTCAGAGGACTAAAGAGCTCTGCTCTGCCATTTACGGTCAGCAGCACCTGCTTCTGGCAAGCGTTACATGAATCTGGACCATTTGCTCTCACAAAACCTCTGGCGTGAAGGGTTGGAGATTTCTGGTGCAAGAGGCTGTAGTGACTAGGCCAGTTGGTAGCTACCTTGGCATCTGTGCCCAACACTGTCTGGATTTCAACACTGACGTCAGAATTGGCTTTCACCATTCTGGTTGCAACTGGCCATTGCTCCATATATACCAGGCATGGGCAAACCTGGGCCCTGAGGGTGAAAAGGGAAGGGCCTGAGGCTGTTAGGAATGGTGGGAGTTGAAGTCCAAAGCACCTGGAGGGTCGAGGTTTGCCCATGCCTGGTATATACCCATGTATAAGTTGAGGGCAGGTTTGGGGGGCCACAAATTACAGATTTTCTACGACCTGTGGATAAATCAAGGGCCATTCTGCAGAGGGTGGAAAGCACCATTGTCAGTGGCTATTTTTCTGCCCAAACATTCGAAAAGACCAGGAAGTGGAATCTTGGCAGAGACAATAAAGTGGATGGATGCTCCTTTGAGGTTCTTCAGGTCCAGACTAAGCTCTTGAGATTCTTCAGCTCTTGGGGTTGTTCAGATCTAGACTAAGCTCTTGAGGTTCTTCAGTTCCAGACTAAGCTCTTGAGGTTCTTCAGCTCTTGAGGTTCTTCAGATCTAGACTAAGCTCTTGAGGTTCTTCGGGTTCAGACTAAGCTCTTGAGGTTCTTCAGTTACAGACTAAGCTCTTCCCCTTCAGGACTCCACTCCAAGAAGAGGATGGCTCCTTTTTTTTATAAGCGTTAAGGTACAGAGCTCACATAGCCCCATGGAGGAGTCCACCCAGGTCTTTGCGGTTTGACTAAAACTCCTAGACTTCTACATGGGTGTATGGGATACGTTTTCTTCCCGAGTGCGTGCTACTTCTTCAATTGCTTAGACAAGGCTCAGGAGGGAGGAAGCCATCAAGGTGTTTGGAGAATTTTGGGGAGGTTGGTGCATGTATGCAGTCTAGGCATGGAGGCCGTATGTGGTACTCAATGCCTCCTTGCCCCCACCATTCCCAAAAGCTTCCAGGTGGCTGGGAAGTGAGACGCGTCTGCACAGAGTTCTGCTCTTGTGGATCAGGAATGTAGTACAGCTGCAACAGATAGGTTTTTATCTTTTGCCACAGAGTCACAATGGAGTTTGAGAGCATCACAGACACGGCCCAGCGCTCTCTTTTCCAACAGCTGGGGAGGTGTTTGTGATCTGTGCACAATAGTGAAGTTTATCTGACACGGCCTCTGCACATTGGGTTCATTCAGCCAAATTTATATTAATTTGCCTGAGCCTTTGGAGTGCGCATGAGAGGAGGTGTCTGCAAGACTGGCCCTTGCAGCGTCCTATGCTATGGCAACGAAACAAATCCATGAGTAACCCCATTGTGTGCAGAAACGATCTTTCTGTCTTCCCGGATGCACCTGCTGCCAACCCGGTTCCACCCGAGCCACTCAATCTGCGAGACTTTCCTTTGGATGAAGGGGCTTTCAGGAAACTTCTGCCGAGAGAGGATTGCACCAGGTGTGGTCTGACACCCTTCAGGACAGGCACCTGCGCAGCTGCTGAAGGAACGTGGCTCCCGCAGGTGGCCAGGTGAGACTTGGACCCGCTAGCTGCCATTTCGGGGTGGCCTCTCTGTATCCGAGGAGGCCTCCAAACTGCCCTTGTGCCTGCCGCCCCTTCTGCCCTTTCCCCCCGAGCCGCTCCTCAAGAGACATCCGTAGCTTCATCCCATTAACCAGACTGGCCCCTTAGGGCTATTCCAGATGTATTATTATAATGATTATGTTTTATTATTATTTTCTGAGCTATGTTTGTTTGCAATAAAGGCTTTCTTACAGTTGGTGGAGCGTGCTTTGTGATTGCAGAACCTCAAGAATCGCTCTCCCACCACTGACCTTGGCCTCTGAGGTATTTGATAGACCTCCCAACTTGGTATCATAGAATAATTGAATCATAGAATCATAACATGGAGGTTTAGCTTACTACCCAAACATTGTTTCTGCAGGAGGGACATCATCCTGCTATAGCACATTTTGCTCTATCTACTTCATCATCACGTCTCAGTCAATACAACCTAGTTTGTGGCAGCCACAAAAATGCAGAACAATGGAGAAGGACAAGGACTTTCAAAGGCCTGCACAAACTTTCAAACCAGGAACAGAACATTTTTCAAATTTTGTTCCATAGTGTAATTCATTGAATCCTAGAGTTGGAAGATACCTGGTGGGCCAGCCAGGAAGGAGATTCCACCTGAATAAATGTATTCCACTTGAATGTAAATAAATGTATTCCACCTGAATCCATGTATAAATATGTGAGAGGAAGCCACAGGGAGGAGGGAGAAAGCTTGTTTTCTGCTTCCCTGCAGATTAGGACGCGGAGCAATGGCTTCAAACGACAAGAGAGGAGATTCCATCTGAACATGAGGAAGAACTTCATGACTGAGAGCCATTCAGCAATGGAACTCTCTGCCCCGGAGTGTGGTGGAGGCTCCTTCTTTGGAGGCTTTTAAACAAGCTGGATGGCCATCTGTCGGGGGTGATTTGAATGCAATATTTCTGCTTCTTGGCCAAATGGGGTTGGACTGGATGGCCAAGGAGGGCTCTTCCAACTCTGATTCTATGAGCACAAGGAAAACTTCCTGACTCTAAGAGCTGTTCAGCAGTGGAACTCTCTGCCACGGAGTGTGGTGGAGGCTCCTTCTTTGGAGGCTTTGAAGCAGAGGCTGGATGGCCATCTGTCGGGGATGCTTTGAATGCAATTTTCCTGCTTCGCTGAATGGGGTTGGATTGGATGACCCATAAGGTCTCGTCCAACTGTATGATTCTATGATTCTATTTATGTTGGGTTCCTCCAGTATAGCTTATAGCAGGCATAGGCAAACTTCGGCTCTCCAGGTGCTTTGGACTTCAACTCCCACAATTCCTAACAGCCTACTATCCAGCTGTTAGGAATTATGGGAGTTGGAGATCAGAACACCTGGAGTTGGAGGCCCAAACACCTGGAAAGCTGCAGTTTGAGGATGCCTGGTCTAGCCACGCATGGGCCAACTTGGGCGCTTCCCTGGAGCACCCCCAACAGATGGCCATCCAGCCTCTGTTTAAAAGCTTCCATAGAAGGAGCCTCCACCACACTCTAGGGCAGAGAGTTCCACTGCTGAACAGCTCTCACAGTCAGGAAGTTCTTCCTCATGTTCAGATGGAATCTCCTTTCTTGTAGTTTGAAGCCATTGTTCCATTGCATCCTAGTCTCCAGGGCAGCAGAAAACAAGCTTGCTCCCTCCTCCCTGTGGCTTCCTCTCACATATTTATACATGGCTATCATGTCTCCTCTCAGCCTTCTCTTCTTCAGGCTAAACATGCCCAGTTCTTTAAGCCGCTCCTCATAGGGCTTGTTCTCCAGACCCTTGATCCTTTGTCCTCTTCCTCTGGACACATTCCAGTTTAGAGTCAACATCTCCTTTCAATTGTGGTGCCCAGAATTGGACACAATGTGATTCCAGGTGTGTTTTGACCAAAGGAGTAGCGCATGGGTCACATGACTTCCCTGGATCTAGGCACCAGACTCCTATTGATGCAGGCCAAAATCCCATTGGCTTTTTTTGCCGCCGCATCACCTTGTTGACTCATGTGGTGGCATAAAAAGCCAGCAGAAATCATAGAGTCATAAACTTGGAAGAGACCACGTGGGCCATCTAGTCCAACCCACTGCTGTGCAGGGAAAGCACAAAGTGTCCCTGAAAGAATGATTCCCACCCCATCCCTATTCTTTCCTTGAAATTGAGCAATTCAAAGCAACCGCGGACACTGAGATCTGGGCTGCAGATAGCGAAACCTGAAGCGTGGATACCGAGTCCAAATAGGTGGGTACTTGGCCTGGTTGATCCACAAAAAAAAAAAAAAGGTTCAAAACTCATTTTGGATGTAGGGGTGCTGGTGGTTTGAGTCTAAAGTCAATTCTGATTTTCACAGAAAAAAAATTCAAAACTTTTCAAAACTTCCGAGACTTCCAAATCCTCTCGTTAATGCTTTGAAAATGTTATTTCCCATTTCATTGGGTGGTCTTTACTTTGAAAGTAGTTGTTTTATTCCATAAGCGGGGAAATTACTTCCTTCTCTGGTTTAAAACTGGCTTCTCTGGCCTGAGCCTAGGCCAGGGACTGGGAGCGGGGGAAAGCTGAATCCTTTCCAACGCACTTCCTGAGTCGTAACAAAAATGGCAGAAAAAGCTTCGGAAGGGCAAAGGGAATTCCGTTTTTAAAAAGGCTACAATATTGCTTCAAAAAGGTAATTTTTACGCAATTATTACAAGCAACAAGTTATCCAAGCGACTATCCATGCCTAGTGGGTACTGGCAGCAGGCCATCTGTAGATCCGTGCACCTGATGAAATGAAAATGTTATCCCAGTGTTCCCAAATTAAGAAATCTCACAGTTGCACTCCAGGTCAGGAAAAAGCCCTCTGACTTTAACACACACCACACGAAGAGTGAAGAAGCAAATCTTTTATTGAAGCTTAGTAAATAGCCAGAATAAATAAATGCTTGTAAGAAAATACAAAGGTTCCAAAAAGTAATGTCCATAAAAGGCAGTAACACAAAGTAATGCTCACACAAGATATAAAAGAAATCCAAGACAGCATTTATCCAGACAGGGATCAAACAGAATGCAAAGACAATCCAAAAAGCTTAAAAAAAAAACTCCACAGGATCAAGACCCCTTGAACAGGATTTCCATGGCACATGAACTTGATTTCCAAACGATGCCTGATCTAACAGGTTTTCCCTTGAAGCAAACCTTATATCCCAAAACTCAGAAATTGGTTTTGCTTTCCTCCACATTTCCGTCTTATCAGACGATGTCTTTCAGAGCGACGTAAACATTGAGTTTGCTGTCGATCCTGGCTAATCTCCAGCTGCCTATTCTTCAGCTCCCTATCTGGCTGCTCATTAAAATTCCCAGGTGTCAGATTGTTTTCCAAACCCAAATCTTGAGAGCTCACAGAGAGAGGGAGTGAACCATCATTGCTAGGCCCAGCAGGGATATTCTCATGAGAAACTGCCCTTTGCACTGGGGCCTCTCTGTCATTGTCTGCCTGAAAATCATTGACCAAACCATCTCCATCTTGTACCTCAGCCTCGGCACCATCATTTCCCTCATCATTTCCCACATCAAGATCCTGAAATGCAAACACAGGCTGATTCCTAACACTCACTAAGTTGAAGAAGAAGCCACCAAGGTATTTTATCAAGTCTGCTGAAGTGGATGCCAGCTCGCGATAATCCACCAAAGGAAGCTGAGATGCCATACAGTTCAAAACATACACTTTTATACAGTAAAATGCTTTGAAATTCCCACTCTCGCCCCAGCTGAAGCCGGCTTCAACATGATTGGTGGAGCCCTGTTGACATCATAAACAGCTGAGGGAGGATTCCTTGCAGAGGTGGGACTGTGGTGCCCACCAGCCAATAGGAGAGTGTTCCCCACTTTCTGGGTCGTGAGGTGCTGATGAAAGGTCATCACAAGGTCTTCATTTGTGGCATACTTCTCCAAAGAGGAAGAGGGTCTTCTTGGTGGTGGTGCCACGGCTTATACACATATACACACACTGGGCCACAGCAATGTGTGGCAGGGGATGTCAAGTCTATAATATTTTATTGAATTGTATTGCTTTCTATTGCATTTGCATTTCAATCTGAAATATTTTTATTGTATTGCTTTGCTTTCTACTGCACTATATTTGCATTTCTATCTGTAGTATTTTTATTGTATCTAATTGCTTTCTATTGCACTATATTTACATTTCTATCAATATTTCTTGCATTGTATTGCTTTCTTTTGCATTGCTTTCTATTGCACTGCATTTGCATTTCTAATACTTTTATTGTATCGTATTGCTTTCTACTGCACTGCATTTGCATTTCTATCATTAATATTTCTTGGATTGTATTGCTTTCTATTGCATTGCATGTCTATCTGTGATTTTTTATTGTGTTGTATTGCTTTCCATTGCACTGCATTTGCATTTCTGTCTTTAATATTTTTGCATTGTATTGCTTTCTATTGCATTGCATGTCTATCTGTGATATTTTATTGTATTGCTTTATATTGCATTGCATTTCTATCTGTAATATTTTTATTGCATTGTATTGCTTTCTATTGCACTACATTTGCATTTCTAATATTTTATTGTATCACATTGCTTTCTATTGCACTATATTTACATTTCTAATATTTTTGCTTTCTATTGCATTGCATGCTTTTATTGCGTTGTATTGCTTTCCATTGCACTGCATTTGCATTTCTGTCTTTAATTTTTTGCATTGTATTGCTTTCTATTGCATTGCATGTCTATCTGTGATATTTCATTGTATTGCTTTCTATTGTACTGCATTTGCATTTCTGTATGTATTGCATTTCCATCTAATATTTTGATTGTATCGTATTGCTTTCTATTGCACTGCATTTGCATTTCTGTCATAATTTATTGTATCTAATTGCTTTCTATTGCACTATATTTACATTTCCATCTTTAATACTTTTTGCATTGCATTGCTTTCTATTGCATTGCATTTTTATCTGTGATGTTTTATTGAATTGTATTGCTTTCTCTTGCATTTCTATCTGTAAGATTTGTATCGCACTGCATTGCTTTCTATTGCACTACATTTGCATTTCTATATGTATTGCATTTCTATCTGTAAGATTTATTATGTTGTATTGCTTTCTATTGCACTGCATTTGCATTTCTATATGTATTGCATTTCTATCTGCAATATTTTATTGTGTTGTATTGCTTTCTATTGCACTGCATTTGCATTTCTGTTATATTTTATTGTATCTAATTGCTTTCTATTGCACTATATTTACATTTCTATATGTTTTTGCATTGTATTGCTTCTTATTGCATTGCATTTGTATCTGTAATATTTTATTGTGTTGTATTGCTTTCTATTGTACTGCATTTGCATTTCTGTTATATTTTATTGTATCTATTTGCTTTCTATTGCACTGTATTTACCTTTCCATCTTTAATACTTTTTGCATTGCATTGCTTTCTTTTTCATTGCATGTCTTTCTGTGATATTTTATTGTATGGCTTTCTCTTGCAATTGAATTTCTATCTGTAAGATTTGTATTGCACTACATTGCTTTCTATTGCAATGCGTTTGCATTTCTATATGTATTGCATTTCTATCTGCAATATTTTTCTTGTGTTGTATTGCTTTCTATTGCACTGCATTTGCATTTCTGTTATATTTTATTGTATCTAATTGCTTTCTATTGCACTATATTTACATTTCCATCTTTAATATGTTTTGCATTGCATTGCTTTCTATTGCATTGCATTTTTATCTGTGATGTTTTATTGAATTGTATTGCTTTCTCTTGCATTTCTATCTGTAAGATTTGTATCGCACTACATTGCTTTCTATTGCACTACATTTGCATTTCTATATGTATTGCATTTCTATCTGTAAGATTTATTATGTTGTATTGCTTTCTATTGCACTGCATTTGCATTTCTATATGTATTGCATTTCTATCTGCAATATTTTATTGTGTTGTATTGCTTTCTATTGCACTGCATTTGCATTTCTGTTATATTTTATTGTATCTAATTGCTTTCTATTGCACTATATTTACATTTCTATCTTTAATATGTTTTGCATTGCATTGCTTTCTATTGCACTGCATTTCTATTATATTTTATTGTATGTATTTGCTTTCTATTGCACTATATTTACATTTCCATCTTTAATATGTTTTGCATTGCATTGCTTTCTATTGCATTGCAAGTCTATCTGTAATACTTTTATTGTGTATTGCTTTCTATTGCACTGCATCTGCATTTCTGTTATATTTTATTTACATTTCTATCTTTAATATGTTTTGTGTTGCTTTGTTTTCTCTTGCATTGCATTTCTATCTGTAATATTTTTATTGTGTTGTATTGCTTTCTCTTGCACTGCATTTGCATTTCTGTCTGTAGTTATTTTATTGCATTGCATTGCTTTCCATTGCATTGCATTTCTTTTATTGCATTGCATTGCTTTCTCTTGCACTGCATTTGCATTTCTGTCTGTAGTTATTTTATTGCATTGCATTGCTTTCCATTGCATTGCATTTCTTTTATTGCATTGCATTGCTTTCTATTGCACTGCATTTGCATTTCTGTCTGTAGTTATTTTTTTGTATTGCTTTCCATTGCATTGCATTTCTTTTATTGCATTGCAGTGCTTTCCATTGCATTGCATTTGCATTTCTATCTGCAATGTGTTTTTTGTTTTGTTTTATTTTGAGCATCTTTCTTTTGCATTTGCATTTTGCATTTTGCATTTTGCATTTTGCATGGGACTTCCTTTCCCCCCCAGGAAGCCAGAGCAGAAGGAGGCCACCTCTGCCCTGCCCCTTTCCCATCCTGCCTTCCTTCCTTCCTGCCTTCCTTCCTTCCTTGGCTTCCTTTCCCAGGGCAATGAACTACAACTTCCATGATGCACTGGGGCGGGGAGGGAGGGAGGGAGGCCCCTGCGGAGCGTAAATCTTCAAAGGCTAACAAAAGAGCAGCCGGCTGACCTGACAGGCAAAGCAGGAGGAGGAGGAGGAGGAGGAGGAAGAGAAAGGAGGGAAAGGGAAAGGGAAAGGGGGGGGGGTCCTCAAAGGGAGGGAGGGAGGGCAGGAGGGGGTGCACAGAGGGGCCTCTGTAGGGGGGCACCCACAAATCTTGCACCCCAAGAGCCTCCCAGTTTGCTCTCCATCTTCTTCCCAGCTACAGCAATGATGATGGCCGGAGGAGGCCTGGCCCAGGTAAGTCAGACAAGCCTTCTTGGGGAAGGAGAAGGGGCACCACCACCACCCCCAATCCAAAACAGCAATATCATCACCATCATGATCTGGGAGCTTCAAAGAGACAGAGCGAGGTCCTTCTAATTATTTTTGTATTCATATTTATTGCCCTTACAGAGCACAGAAACGAGGAGGGGGATCCCATCAGGTCCGCTGATGACTGTCCTGCCAAAGCAAAGGGGTGCCTTAAAAAAGGGCAAGAGGCAGAGTGGAGTCATTACTTATTATTATTATTATTATTATTATTATTATTATTATTTATAATTATATTTATATTTATTGCCCTCCCAAGAGTCTCAGGGTGGTTCAAGCACAGAAACGAGGAAGGGGATCCCGTCAGGTCCGCTGATGACTGTCCTGCCAAAGCAAAGGGGCACCTTACGAAAGGGCAAGAGGCAGAGAGGGGTCTTTATTATTATTATATTTATATTTATTGCCCTTTTTAAGGGCCTCAGGGTGGGTCAAGCACAGAAACGAGGAGGGGGATCCCGTCAGGTCCACTGATGACCGTCCTGCAGAAGCAAAGGGGCGTCTTACAAAAGAGCAAGAGGCAGAGTGGAGTCATTATTATTATTATTATTATTATTATTATTATTATTATTATTATTATATTGCCCTTCCAAGGGCCTCAGGGTGGGTCAAGCACAGAAACGAGGAGGGGGATCCCATCAGGTCCGCTGATGACTGTCCTGCCAAAGCAAAGGGGCGCCTTACAAAAGGGCAAGAGGCAGAGTGGGGTCTTCATTGTTATTATTATATTTTTTATATTTATATTTATTGCCCTCCCAAGGGCCTCAGGGTGGGTCAAGCACAGAAACGAGGAGGGGGATCCCGTCAGGTCCGTTGATGACTGTCCTGCCAAAGCAAAGGGGCACCTTACAAAAGGGCAAGAGGCAGAGTGGGGTCTTTATTATTATTATATTTATATTTATTGCCCTCCCAAGGGCCTCAGGGTGGGTCAAGCACAGAAACGAGGAGGGGGATCCCGTCAGGTCCGCTGAGGACTGCCCTGCAAAAGTAAAGGGGCGCCTTACAAAAGGGCAAGAGGCAGAATGGAGTCTTTATTATTATTAATATATTTATTATATTTAAATATAATAATAATAAAGACTCCACTCTGCCTCTTGCCCCTTTTTAAGGGCCTCAGGGTGGATCAAGCACAGGAACAAGGAGGGGGATCCCATCAGGTCCGCTGATGACCATCCTGCAAAGCAAAGGGGCGCCTTACAAAAGAGCAAGAGTGGGGGTCTTTATTATTATTAAGATTATTATTATTATTATTATTATTATTATTATTATTATTATATTTATTGCCCTTCCAAGGGCCTCAGGGTGGGTCAAGCACAGAAACAAGGAGGGGGATCCCATCAGGTCCGCTGATGACTGTCCTGCCAAAGCAAAGGGGCGCCTTACAAAAGGGCAAGAGGCAGAGTGGGGTCTTCATTGTTATTATTATATTTTTTATATTTATTGCCCTCCCAAGGGCCTCAGGGTGGGTCAAGCACAGAAACGAGGAGGGGGATCCCGTCAGGTCCGCTGAGGACTGCCCTGCAAAAGTAAAGGGGCGCCTTACAAAAGGGCAAGAGGCAGAATGGAGTCTTTATTATTATTAATATATTTATTATATTTAAATATAATAATAATAAAGACTCCACTCTGCCTCTTGCCCCTTTTTAAGGGCCTCAGGGTGGGTCAAGCACAGAAACAAGGAGGGGATCCCATCAGGTCCGCTGATGACCATCCTGCAAAAGCAATGGGACGCCTTACAAAAGGGCAAGAGGCAGAGTGGAATCATTATTATTATTATTATTATTATTATTATTATTATTATTATTTTACTTATTGCCCTTGCAGAGCCTCAGGGTGGGTCAAGCACAGAAACGAGGAGGGGATCCCATCAGGTCCGCTGATGACTGTCCTGCCAAAGCAAAGGGGCACCTTACAAAAGGGCAAGAGGCAGAGTGGAGTCATTATTATTATATTTATTTATATTTATATTTATTGCCCTCCCAAGGGCCTCAGGGTGGGTCAAGCACGGAAACAAGGAGGGGATCCCATCAGGTCCGCTGATGACCATCCTGCCAAACCAAACGGGCGTCTTACAAAAGGGCAGGAGGTCTGGCAGGCCGCTCCGGCCTTGCTCAGGTAGGAAGGAAGGCAGGATCCCTTGAGGTCCCAGGGATCCATTGCCAGCCAATGAGCTCCATCTTCCTCTCGAGGAAGGCACCAGCAACGCCGCCTCCTCCTGCCCATCGAGGCGGCTGCTTCAGCCCTCTCCAAAGAGCCCATCCACCCTGAAAGCCTCTCAGGACAAAGGGGGAGCGGGCTGGGATGGGGAGTTGGGACAAAATAGAGAGATACCTGTGCCTCCTCGAAGCAACAACAACAACAAGGAGCAGACAGGTCTGTGCTGTTCATTTGCTTTTTTTGCAGTGACTCCGCCGGATGGAAATTCCTGCCATTGGCGATCATCAAATTGTGATATTTGCTCCCCACATTATTATTAGTATGATTATGTCGTGTAGGCCAAGGGCCAATTTGTGCCCTCCCTCCCTCCAGGTGTTTTGGACTCCAACTCCCACAATTCCTAACAGCCTACCGGCTGTTAGGAATTGTGGGAGTTGAAATCCAAAACACCTGGAGGGAAGGAAGGAGGGCCCAAGTTGGCCCAAGCTTACTATAAAGCCAATATAAGATGCTCAAACTGCCAAGGGAGGAGTCGGTTTCGTACAAGGCACCTACCTGCACCACACCCGAAGCCTTATGCAAATTAATGCAGTTTGGCTCCTTCATTAGCCATCCTGTCTCCATGCGACGGGATCCTGGGAGTTGTAGTTTGCTGAGTCATCAGCTCTCTTCGGCCGAGACGGCTAAGAAGGCCTTGCGAAACTAAAACTCCCAGGCTCCCGTTGCATTGAGGGGTCGGTCTAGCTGCATTCGTTCTACAGTGGAGATGCACCCACGTTTTGCCACGTAGCATGGGAAATATAATAGGGACCCTTTGGTAATTTGTGTTCCACTTTTGTGATTTACGGCCACCTACGAAGAATATGAACCACTATGTGTATCAGGTATGGGCAAACTACGGGCTGCTAGGAATTGTGGGAGTTAAGTCCAAAACAACTGCAAGGCTGAAGTTTTGGCCCACCTTGTAATTCGTGGTCCATTTCACAATTCTATATTTTGCAGCCTGCTTCACAATTATGGGTTCAAGTAATGATTTTGGCCCACCTTGCAATTCATGGCCTGCTTGACCTTTATGTATTTTCCGCCTAATTGACAGCTGTCGTCCCTTTGATGATTTTTCACACGTTGCAATCTTTGGCACATTTAATAACACCACGTAACACAATTTTTGTTCCTGGGTTATAAATGTCATTTCTGTCATAAAAACATGGGAAACGTTTATTAAACTATATATATAGTTTGGATAGACCACATCAGCTCTAGCTTCTGATACAGAACATATGCCATCCAGTAGTCTCCATCTGCTTGCCCACAGAAAACCATATCTAATAATATATATATCTAAATATATATATCTAAATATATATATATTGTGGGACATCCTGCAGCAGCACATTTTACTCTAGTTTTCCAATGAATATCTCCTACTTGACCAGTGTTTCCCAACCTTTTTTTGACTAGGGATTACTCACCAACATTAATACCAGAAGAGTTACGAATCAGTTTTTGGTCAACTTTAGATTCGGTTTGGTTATTTGGGGTGCTGATTCAGAAAATTGCATGGGATAGACTACATCAGCTCTAGCTTCTGATACAGAACATATGCCATCCCGTAGTTGCCATTTGCTCACCCACAGAAAACCATATTTCATCATCATCATTTAATTACTTATTAATCGCCCTACATCCAAGATGCTGTAGGTGATTTACAAGCTATTTAATAATCTAGAGCTGATGTGGTCTATCCAATGCAATTTTCTGAATCAGTCCCCCAAATAACCCCAGGATTAGGCCTAGATTCAGTTCGATTATTTGGGCTACTGATTCAGAAAATTGCATTGGATAGACCACATCAGCACTAGCTTCTCATACAGAACATATACCATCTGGTCGCTGCCATCTACTCACTCACAGAAAACCATATTTAATAATCTGGAGCTGATGTGGTCTATCCAATGCAAATATCTGAATCAGTCCTCCAAATAACCCCAGGAATAGGCCTAGATTCAGTTTGGGTATTTGGCTGCTGATTCGGAAAATTGCATTGGATAGACTACATCAGCTCTAGCTTCTGATACAGAACATATGCCTTCTGGTCGTTGCCATCTACTCACTCACAGAAAACCATATTTAATAATCTGGAGCTGATGTGGTCTATCCAATGCAAATATCTGAATCAGTCCTCCAAATAACCCCAGGAATAGGCCTAGATTCAGTTTGGGTATTTGGCTGCTGATTCGGGTTTAGCCAATGCAGTTTTCTGAATCATTCCCCCAAATAACCCCAGGAATAGGCCTAACTAGGAATAGGTCAACTTTAGATTCAGTTTGGTTATTTGAGGTGCTGATTCAGAAAATTGCATTGGATAGACCACATCAGCTCTAGCTTCTGATACTGAACATATGCCATCCAGTAGTCACCATTTTCTCACCCACAGAAAACCATATTTAATAATCTAGAGCTGATATGGTCTATCCAATGCAATTTTCTGAATCAGCAGCCCAAAAACCAAACTGAATTTAGGCCTATTCCTGAGGTTATTTGGGGGACTGATTCAGAAAATTGCATTGGATAGATCACATCAGCTCCAGATTATTAAATATGGTTTTCTGATACAGAACATATGCCATTCAGTAGACGTCATCTGCTCACCAACAAAAAACCATATTTAGTCATATAGAGCTGATGTGGTCTATCCGATGCCATCAGCTTGCCCACAGTAAACCATATATAATAATCTAGAGCTGATGTGGTCTATCCAGTGCTGTTTTCTGAATCAGCACCGAAATAACCCCAGGAACAGGCCTAAAACTGAAGACACCAAGGTGCACCCGCTTTCAGGCATCAAACTGAACGGAGGCTGGTTGTTGCGCCTTTCGTGGGGAGTCACCCTCTCCCCTCCGGACATTCTCATTGCCTTGGCACTGGAAGAGGGTATCACAAAACCAGTCCCTCTTGTTGCAACAGTGTAGTAACAGTGGGGCCGTGGACCATATTCTAGTTCTTGGGGACCACTGGTGGCTCATGGAGCACAGGTTGGGAACCACTGCACTAGACTCTCAACCCATTCAACCTAATTTCTGGCACAAAAACAACGTTTCTGGAGTAGATCAATAGTTTCAAAGTAAACAGTACACATTTAAACAGGAAGTGACACTTTCAAACCAGGAACAGAATTCTCCCCCCCCCCAAATTTTGTTACATTGTTTGTTTGTTTATTTACAGTATTTATATTCCACCCTTCTCAACCCGCAGGGAGTTCAGGGCAGATTACAATGTACATACACACGGCAAACATTCAATGCCATAGACTCACAACATACATACATACATACATACACACACACACACACATACATACATATGGACAGAGGCTATTTAACTTTCCAGCTTCATGAGGGGATGCTTTTTGTATTCCGGCCACCGGGGGAGCTGTCGCTCCACCGCCCACTTGTGACGCCGAGTTCTTGATGGAGTACTTCCTCATTCTTTTGCACACTGCTGGAGAGTTTTATGGCATTGTAAATTAATTAAATTAGCCTCCCCGCATAAAACGGCACCTAAATTTCCTACTTGACAGATGCAACTGACTTTCGGGCTGCAAAGGTCAACAGCAAGCTATGTTGCACAGAAGCGGATTTTAGCCAGGTCCAATATAATAGACACACAGGCAAGAGGGGAAAAAAGGAATAGAAAAAATTCACTCTTATCAGCAGAGGAAAACATAAACTTGCAGTGTTGCATACAAAATCAAACATAGTCCTTGTAAGTAACACAGAATAAAGCTTTATCTTAATCCAAATGAGAGAGCAAAACATAAACCTTGAGTAAATAACTATTCCACCATAGCATCGCTGTTAGAGCATACCAGCATTACAGCATATTGCTTCTCCTCAGAGTAGTGTATGGCTTCTCCAAACTGTATTCTAAAATCCATACAGTTACACCCCACCGGGTGTGGCCCAAACATGCTGGCTGACCTACATTACCAGCTGCACATAATAATTAACATCATAAGGTTTTTCTTTAACAGACACACACACGTGATCCTGCTACTACTTACTGTAACAAGCTAGACAAATGGTCGGGGGCTTACTCCAACCCAGGCTGGCTTCGAACTCATGACCTTTCGGTCAGTGGTGATTTAATGACTCCTAGACAGCTGCGCCACAGTCCGTGTTATGAGTGCATATAATGATTTTGGCCCACCTTGCAATTCATGGCCCGCTTGACTATTGTTAGCTCGTTTGCTTCTCTTAGAGTAGTGTATTGTTTCTCCAAACTGTATTCTAAAATCCATACAGTTACACCCCACCAAGTATGGCCCAAACATGCTGGCTGACCTACATTACCAGCTGCACATAATAATTAACATCATAAGGTTTTTCTTTAACAGACACACACACGTGATCCTGCTACTACTTACTGTAACAAGCTAGACAAATGGTCGGGGGCTTACTCCAACCTAGGCTGGCTTCGAACTCATGACCTTTCGGTCAGTGGTGATTTAATGACTCCTAGACAGCTGCGCCACAGTCCGTGTTATGAGTGCATATAATGATTTTGGCCCACCTTGCAATTCATGGCCCGCTTGACTATTGTTAGCTCGTTTGCTTCTCTTAGAGTAGTGTATTGTTTCTCCAAACTGTATTCTAAAATCCATACAGTTACACCCCACCAAGTATGGCCCAAACATGCTGGCTGACCTACATTACCAGCTGCACATAATAATTAACATCATAAGGTTTTTCTTTAACACACACACACACACATGATCCTGCTATGACTTACTGTAACAAGCTAGACAAATGGTTGGGGGCTTACTCCAGCCTAGGCTGGCTTCGAACTCATGACCTTTCGGTCAGTGGTGATTTAATGACTCCTAGACAGCTGTGCCACAGTCCGTGTTATGAGTGCATATAATGATTTTGGCCCACCTTGCAATTCATGGCCCGCTTGACCATTGTTAGCTCGTTTGCTTCTCTTAGAGTAGTGTATTGTTTCTCCAAACTGTATTCTAAAATCCATACAGTTACACCCCACCAAGTATGGCCCAAACATGCTGGCTGACCTACATTACCAGCTGCACATAATAATTAACATCATAAGGTTTCTCTTTATTAACACACACACACTTGATCCTGCTACTACTTACTGTAACAAGCTAGACAAATGGTCGGGGGCTTACTCCAACCTAGGCTGGCTTCGAACTCATGACCTTTCGGTCAGTGATGATTTAATGCAGCTGATTCCCAGACAGCTGCGCCACAGTCCGTGTTATGAGTCCATATAATTATTTTGGCCCACCTTGCAATTCATGGCCCACTTGACCATTATTAGCTCGTTCCAATATTTTTGGTCTCCTTGAGTCCCAACTTGCAATTTGTGGCAATTTGAGGTTGTTGCCTACTTCACAATCCTTGGCCCACTCAATACTTGGGCCCAGTTGGTGGGCTCCTCTGTCATTTTGGCCCAACTTGAATTTCTTAGTCTGCTTCATTTGGGATTCATGTCCCGTCCTCTTGCAGTCCGCCCCCTCTCTTTGTGGGGCGCTTGGTGCTGAGGGGCTGCTCCTCGTTGCAGGTTCCGGTGGCCTTTGCGGACGTGGCGGTCTACTTCTCTCCCGCGGAGTGGGCGGAGCTCGCGGAGTGGCAGAAGGAGCTCTACCAGGACGTAATGGCCGAGAACTTTGAGCTGGTCTGCTCTCTGGGTAACGACGGCTTTTGGTTCCCCCTCCGATGCCGAGACCCCTTCCCATCCTCATCCCCTTTGGGGGCTCGGCCTAGTGGGTGGGGACCCACCCTGAGTCCCGAGGAAGTCCAAAGGCTGCATCTGCACTGTAGGACCAATGCAGGGCTTGACACCACTTCCACGGCTATGGGATTCTAGGAGAAGTCGTTTGGTGAAGCCACAGCACTTTTAGGCAGAGAAGGGGAAAGCAGGCTTGCAAAACTGGATTGCCATGGTTCCGTAGCATTGAACCATGGCTGTTCAAGTGGTGTCAAACTGCATTAATTCTGCAGTGCAGATGCACCCAAAGACCCTTGGAATTTGTAGCAGGCAACTTACGGCCCTCTAAGTGCTATTTGCCTACAATTCCCATCTGCTTTAGATAGGAGAATTAACATTATGGGGGTCGGGTTGTTTTTTTCGGGTTATATGGCCATGTTCTAGAGGCATTCTCTCCTGACGTTTCACCTGTATCTATGGCAAGCATCCTCAGAGGTAGTGAGGTCTCTCTGAGGATGCTTGCCATAGGTGCAGGTGAAACGTCAGGAGAGAATGCCTCTAGAACATGGCCATATAGCCCGAAAAAACATACAACAACCCAGTGATTCCAGCCATGAAAGCCTTCAACAATACATTATAGGGATTGAAATCCAAAAAGCAGTAATTGCACACTGCGGTGTTCCCTCACTTATTGCGGACAATCCGTTCCAGGACCACCCGCAATAAGTGAAAATCCGCAAAGTAGGGATGCTCTCCCCACTCGAGTGAGCGGAGTGTCCCTACTTTGTGGCGGCCTACTCCTTCTTGCCGCCGCAACTGCTCCCCGCCTTGGAGGCCCCTGTATACAGTGTTCCCTCGCTACTTCGCGGTTCGCTTATTGCGGACTCGCTGTTTCGCGGGGAGCAGTGAGGGAACACTGTGTATTCAATGTAGAGGCTGCTCCCCACTCTTTCCTCACTAGGCTGGGCGTCCAAGGGCCTCCGAGGTGGGGAGCGGCGGAGGCGGCAAGGAGAAGGAGGCCGCTGTCGAAGACGGCCTTGGCGGTGGCGGCCTACCCCTCACCGCCTCTGCTGCTCCCTACCTTGGAAGCCCCTTGGATGCCCAGCCTGGTTCTGTAGTATTGAACCCTGAGGAAGGAGTAGGGAGCAGCGGAAGTGGCGAGGAGGAGGAGAGGTGAGCAGCCTCTACCTTGAATACACAGTGCTCCCTCACTGCTCCCCGCGAAACAGCGAGTCCGCTATAAGCGAACCGCAAAGTAGCGAGGGAACACTGTATACAAGTTATTTTGCTCAAGCCACTAGAACTCTCTGGCGGAGAATTTGCTAAACTACAAATCCCATTGCCCTGACAGCTGAAGTGGAATCCTACCACTATTGCTGTGTGGGGTAAAACATAATATAATTGATTGCCCTGCTCCAAGCAATATTTACAAGAGAGAGGGATCTTTTCTCTTTCTCCAAATTAATCCTGTTAATCAACTATTAATTGGCTGAAATCAGAGGCCGAGGCATCCAATCATAGAATCCTAGAGTTGGAAGAGACCTCATGGGCCATCCAGTCCAACCCCATTCTGCCAAGAAGCAGGAATATTGCATTCAAATCACCCCTGACAGATGGCCATCCAGCCTCTGTTTAAAAGCTTCCAAAGAAGGAGCCTCCACCACACTCCCTCGGGGCAGAGAGTTCCACTGCTGAACGGCTCTCACAGTCAGGAAGTTCTTCCTCGTGTTCAGATGGAATCTCCTCCAAGATGCAGCCAAATGCCCTCTTTTCTCCCTGGCCAAGGATCCCACATAAATCCCTTTGCAAACTACAAATCCCAGAATCCGGGTATAGTAGAGTCTCGCTTATCCAACCTTCGCTCATCCAACATTCTGTATTACACAGCTCTTTCAATACATTGCAATGTTTTGGTGCTAAATTCGTAAATACAGTAATTACTACATAACGTTACCATGTATTGAATGGCTTTTTCTGTCGATTTGTTGTAAAACATGATGTTTTGGTGCTTAATTTGTAAAATCATAATGTAATTTTGCGTTTAATAGGCTTTTCCTTAATTCCCCCCTTATTATCCACTATTTTCGCTTATCCAGCGTTCTGCCGCCACGTTTATGTTGGATAAGTGAGACTCTACTGTACATTCAAACTACAATTTCCTGAATTCTGTGATGACGGCCCATAACAATATCATGGGTGTCATGGTGGGACACCTGGAGGAACAGCACCCCGCCCTTTCCTCCTCTTCTTCACCTGCAAGGCTGTTGTTTGCAGCTACATTCGTGTCTCTCCCTCCTTGCAGAGTGCCTGCTCTCCATCCCGGAGCTTCTTTCCCGGCTGCTGCGATGGGAGGCCCCGCCTGCCGCAGAGACCCCTCAACCACGAGGCATAAGCAACTCCCCACAGAAGCAGGAGGAGCCCCCAGGTGAGGATGCTGGGACCTCCAGTGAAACCAGGGCAAGTGGGCCTTTTGGCACGGTGGAGGGTGGGGTAGTAGACGGAAACCAGGGCAAGTGGGCCTTTTGGCACGGTGGAGGGTGGGGTAGTAGACGATGTCTCCCCATTTTCTGTCCTGAGTTGCCCTTCAAAAACAATGTTGAAAGTAAAAGAAAAATGCTTTACTTCAGCAAACACAAAGGATAAGCAAATGCAGTTGAAAAATGCAAAAGAAAGCAAGGAAGTCTTAATGCAGACACAAATTAAAGTCTCTTACAAAGTCCCAAAAGAAACACCAGTCTTCCATCAGACAACGGGCAATGAACTAAGTCCTTAGCAGCAGACACAAAACAGATTCTATTGGAGTGAAAACACAGATATATAAACCCACATTCCTAGTTCCAATAGACCTCACTACCTCTGAGGATGCTTGCCATAGATGCAGGTGAAACGTCAGGAGAAAATGCCTCTAGAACATGGCCATATATAAAAATAAAAATGTAATGTTTGTTTGTGGGATTAACATAACTCAAAAACCACTGGACGAATTGACACCAAATTTGGACACAATGCACCTATCAGGCCAACGAGTGACCATCACTCATAAAAACACTGAAAAACGCAGTAGAAAAGACTTAAAGTGCCAAAAAACAAAAAATCCATTGCAACGCATGCACAAAACTACATATATATATATGCAAACACACATATACACAAATATATACACTCACAAAACACATATACACAGACTGGGCCACAGCAACGCGTGGCAGGGGATGGCTAGTATATTATAAATATTACGTACATTACATCGGATCTCAGAAAGGGAGGCTGGTGTGTGGGCCAGGACTCCCTCCGCCGGCTCTGCTTGCCCTCCCACGACCTGCCTGCTTCCCTGGCCTCCGCAGACTCCGGCAGAGGCCTTCCCCACCGTGCCTCTGGCTGCCGCACTTCCGGGGTCCTGAGGCACGTCGGGGAAGGCCTGACTCCCTGGCCTGCTGCTGCCTGTGTGGCTCCGGAGGCAGGTAACAAAGCACAGGTAGGTAACGAAGCACATGAAGCTTGATCTCATGTAAGCCGCCCCGAGTCCCCTTTGAGGAGATGGTGGCGGGGTATAAGTAAATATTATTATTATTATTATTATTATTATTATTATTATTAAAATCCACAAAGTAGGGATGCTATATTAATTTTAATATTTATACATTATGCTAAAATAATGTATAAATATTAAAATTAATATAGCGTCCCTACTTTGCTGATTTTCACTTATCGCGGGTGGTCCTGGAACGGAACACCCGCGATAAGTGAGGGAACACTGTACATTCCAAAATCTGTCTCTCTCTGCTTCTATATTCAAACTGACACTCTCTGCACATGCATAGCTGAAGCCTGAACAAAAATGTAACAGTATTCAAAAGGCCCAGGCTCAGCCATCTGCCTAGGCATTGCTTACCAATCAGCTTCATGCATCTTATTTTGCAGTTGACACAGACATATTACCTGATTCCTTGCATGCTTCAACAGAGGAGAGAAGGAATGGAAAGGCTTGTGCCAAGAGTGGAAAAAGCCACTGTTTTGCACTGCAATTCCTAGAATAATAATAATAATAATAATAATAATAATAATAATAATAATAATAATAATAATTCCTAGAATGCCTCGGCTGTCAGGGCTGTGAGGATTCCAGGAACTGCAACCTAAAATTTACAAGAAAAATAGTTTCCCAAAAGAAACTCTCCAAGTTAGTTCAAGAGAGCCCAGGCATCCTGGCATGTGGACCTTCAGGCTGAGGAGGGGGTCTTTGCATTGGAAGGCATCTTTGCAACAAGTCCTAATGTCCCCCCATTTTTTTTCGCAGTCACTATTGTCACGCTGAGTGAGCAGCCGGATGAAAACGGGCAGCCCGACTCTCCAAAGGCAGCCGGACCCAAGGCTTTGAAAAGGGCCCGCCTTCGCCGCCCCAGAACAGCAGAGAAGGGCCCCGAGAAGGGCCCCCCTCTGAGGCTGCCACCCCAGAAGAGGGAGAAGCCCTACAAGTGCCCCAAGTGCCAGCGCAGCTTCCTGTACCGAGTGGCCCTGATCGCTCACCGGCGCCTCCACGTGCGGAAGTGGCCCCGGATCGGGCCCCCGAGTGCGGGGCGGTCCCCCTCCTCTCCCTCTTCCCCACGCTCACCGCCCGACCCGGTGGTGCCACAGGAGGGCCGCTCGGGGTCCGGCGCCACCAGCCCCTTCGCCTGCGCTCCGGGTGAGGGGGGGCCGCTGCCCTTCTGGCCCGAGATGGCCTTGCACCAGCAGGGCCCAGCCGGCCACGGCTTCAACCCCTGGGCCCTGGGCTACGGGCCCCAGCCTTTGCCCGGCCACCAGGCCCCGGGGCTCCACAGCAATGGGGAGTTCATCTGCGACCAGTGCGGCTGGAGCTTCCACGGATGGGAAGAGCTGGTCACGCACCAGATGGCCCACATGGCGGCTGAGGGCATCGCGGGGTCTGTGCCCAAGGCGGGGGCGCTGGCCCAGCTGGCCGCCGACCGTCCTTATTCCTGCAACCTGTGTGGCAAGAGCTTCCGGCACAAGCCCAACTTGCTGGCCCACCGGCAGGTGCACACGGGCGAGCGGCGGTACCAGTGCCAGGAGTGCGGGAAGTCCTTTGGGAGTAAGGCTTACCTGGCCTCCCACCAGCACATCCACACCGGGGAGAAGCCCTACGTCTGCGCCCAGTGCGGCAAGAGCTTCCGCCACAAGCCCAACCTCATCTCCCACCAGAAGATCCACAGCCGCGAGCCCCTCTCGGCTCCCCAGCAACACCCGCCGGACGCCTTCAATGGGGAGGCCGCCTTTCCCGGAGCCCGGGCTGTACCGGACCCCCTCGGGGTCGAGGCCTTCCAGGTCCAGCAACAGCGAATCCTGGCTGCCCACCGGTCCTGCGCTCAGGGGGACTCCCCGCTGCTACCGGCGGCTCTCCCGCTGCCGCCGACCCTCCTGCCCCCACCACTGCTGCCCCCTCCGCCGGCCGTGGACCGCCCGTTCATCTGCCCGGTCTGCGCCAAGCCGTTCCGCTGCAAGCCCTACCTGGTGGCCCACCTCCGCATCCACACGGGGGAGAAGCCGTACGCCTGCAGCCGCTGCCCCAAGCGCTTCTCCCAGAAGTCCAACCTGGTCTCGCACGAGCGGCTCCACACCGGCGAGAAGCCCTACGCCTGCCCGCTCTGCCCCCGCGTCTTCAGCCAGGGCTCCAACATGCGCGCCCACCAGCGCAGCCACCGCAACATCGTGCCGGTCGAGGTGGCGGAGGGACCCCTGCGGCAGGGATACGTGACGGCGGCAGCCGGGGCAATAACAGTGCGGCAGGTCCAGGTCCCGGCCCAGCCCAATTAGGGGCTCGGTTGGCTCCTCCGTCCGTCCGACCGTCCGCCCA